CATTATGATATAGAATGCAAATTACTCAACATTGTCAGAAGTCTGTCATAAAAATCTAGAAAATGCAAGAGGCATTTTTACTAAATAAATAGACGCCTAATTGAGTGTGTTTAGGCAGGTGCTACGGAAATAGACTAATTTTGAAGCAAGAAAAGGATGGCTATAAACCCAACTTAGCTTATTGCTTAGTTATTTGAGTTAGAAAAACTTTCAGTATAGCTTGTTTGCCAATCATATTGTGCAAATAATTATGCAAAGAGTATGTTATAATTGAATTGTTTGGTTTTGGGTTTTTTGTTTTTGTTTTTTTATGCTAGTTTACCTGCAACGTTCTTAAAGTTCATATATGCTGTTTTTGTTGTTGTTATTTATGTTCCACTGAGTTACTTACAGAGATCCTATGCACAATAGCTCTGAAAGCTGTTCTATCCTGAACCGATGTCACTATCTCTGACACCTCTACCCCCATTACACCAGTTACTATGTCAATTAATCTCTTCTAGCGTCTTCCTCTCTTGTGCTGTCCTTCCATGAATTCAAGCATAATGTTATTTTCTAAGGACTGGTCTGCAAAAGAGCATAAAACTGAACATGGGAACAGAGGGTCATAAGAGTCTCTTTGAAAGAGGCAGAGGAAGTGAGTATAGCACAACCACCCACAAGCCCAGGCAGTAAGCAAATAAAGAGCCCATAAGCCCGGATTCGTGTTGTCTCTAGAGCTACACCAACAGCAAGAGGTTCATTTACTCACTATGTACTCACAGACTTTACTGAAAGTTGTGGCAAACAAAAGTGGGGTTTATGAGGGAAATACAATGGAAAGTGGAAGACACAAATAATATCATCCAAAGCAAAGCCAGTTTTAGCCCAGTATTATTAAGGTACAATTTCTTAATTCATTAGTCCAGCCTCTGGTTTCAGTTCAACAACAGAAGTTTGAGAAATCTCTGATTTCCTCATGCATCCAGCAATGTTTGTCTGAAAGCAGTTATAAATCAGCTTGTCCTTTGATAATCTAGCAAGCACAGCAAAACCTTTAACAGTATCCTTTATCTCTAGTTACATCTGGCCACAATTTCTCCACAGCACTGCCACAGTCTTCTCCACTGCCATCACCAGGATTTTGCCACCAGGGTCTCACACTCACCAGGGTCTTGCTCTAGTCATCCTCTAGTCTTTCGATTCAATGTGGAAAGCACTCTCTCTTTATGCCAGTCCCAGGCTGTTGATGATTTCTAAGACCATGTGTCTGTAGTTAAGGAAGCTGGAGACCAGATGGAGCTAAAGTAATGACTAATAAAAGCTAACTTGAGGTTAACATTGCATGGTCCCTCTAATAAACACTACCAAAGTATATGAGACAGAGCTTCAAAATCGCTGCCTCCATGAACCAATCTTATTGCATCCTCTCCAAGACAAACCTGTTTGTTTTCTTGGTAGTCCGTGTATGTTCAGTACTCTTCTCCAGCACCACAACTCAAAGACTTTGATTCTTCTTCTGTCATCTTTAGTCATTGTCCAGCTCTCTGATGCACAGCAAGCAATTGTAAAAGATCATGGCCTAGATCTATAGTCTATAGACTTACGTCATTGGTGCCAAAAGTGTTGACTGTAAATCCAAGCAAGCTGAAACTGTTATTAATCTCAATCTCTTATCAATCTATCATACATTGCCAATTGGTCGTGGGATGAGAATCTTTGTCTTCTTGATGCTGAGTTTCAATCCATATTGAAGAATGCAGTCCTTCACCTTCTGCAGTGAATGTTTCAGGTCTTCTTCAGTTTTGGTGAACAAGGTTGCATCATCTCATAACACAGGTTGTTGAGGAATTAATCTTCAATCCTGATACCACCTTCCTCCTTTTAAAGTCCAGGCTTGATCCTGAGTGACTCAAAGGACAGTTCAATTTGGATAAACAGTAGAGTTAGAATGGTTGAATTTATTTTTTCATCAAAAGAAGTTTAAAGTGATGTTGCTATCTTTAAATTATTCTTTATTAGCTTAATGTATTTTCTCTATGATCTTTGACATCAGCAACATTTATTTAATCAATTTATGAGATAATTATAAAATATAGTTTGGTAACAAGTTTACACAGTGCTACTTTGTTAACTATTTAATCAGTTTACATTTTCATATAAAAATTAATCAGTTTATATTTTCATATATAAATATTTCAATATTTATAGCTGAAAATATTTGCTATTACTTATTGAATACAACAAATGTAACTGATGGGGAGATTGCCAACTTTTCTCTCATGGAGCTGTTGGTGGATTCAAACTGTGTATCTTTGGTTTGACAGCATATTTCCTTATCATTAGGCTACCAGAGCTTCCTCTATGTGTGTGATGCATAGAAAAAATAATAAGTATTTTACAAGATACATCTTTAAGCTTTATGTCAAATGTGTAAAACTATGTCATAATACAAAAAGTCTTTCTTTTACTTTCTTCTGTTTCATTTCTTCCTTTCCTTTTTCCCCTCACAAAATGTGGTAACAAACAAGTTAAAAAACATAAACATCTTTTTTAATTGTAATTTTAATTTTGTTGTCAGAAGTTTATGTGTTTTTACAAAGCTTAAATCTTATTATTTAATAACTTAGATGAATTATATATAAATATCTCCCTCAGAAATAGATTGTTTTTTACTTATGTATGGCTAGTACTAGTAGATTTTAAAATATAAAATATTCAAATAATATGTTGCTATCATACATAATACATTGAATTTACTGAATATTAGCATGAAGATAAACAAATAAGCATTACTCACATCTGTTTAATGTATCTTAATATATAATAAACATTAAAAATTACATAGATTTAAATTATTTCTAATATTGTACAGTTTAATTTTATGTTTAAATAAATTTAAAAGTCAGTGTAGAAAGTCCACTGCAGGGTATTACCTTGAGAAATTATTTAATTACATGTACTTCAAATTTTCACGTTACCTCTGATAGAAAGTTTTCTCTGTCCTGTTTGTGATGTGTGATTTCATACACTCCTTTTACCTTAAGGGAAATACTTACTTGATTCAGTTCTTGGATAAAAATGGTCTGTCACTATTGCTTGCTTTACCGGGCTTCCCTCCCACTTTTATTTCCTTTTTCTTTTTAGCACAGAATACTAAGAGAAAAATCAAGGCACAGGGGACTCTAGTCTAGCTGTTGTAGCATAAATCAATATTAAAATGCACAGTAGTGATTTTTCTTCCTCAGAAAGGTCTTTTATGTATTTAATTTCTGGTTTTATTGAAATGTCCAACTTTGTCTAGGAAGGACTTAGCTTTTGTGTCCATTTTAGTGTGTGGGTCAATAATGGGCTAGGGAAGAGTAATATGACTGTTTTCATGCTTGGTTCCTAACCCCTGTTGGAGGTTGCTGAAGCTGTGAATTTCACAAACGGACAGCAGTCATGCCCCTGGTTGCCTTGGGAAACCCGCTGCTTCGCTGCACCTCTGCCACCAGCAAAAGTTATTGGGTTCTGTTTTAATGATTCATTAAAGCAAACAATGAAACATTTCCCAGCGTTCATATCTAGAAAGAGATAACAATCTCCACGACTCTAATTATGGCTATAAGTGAAAAAGCATCTTCCTTTCTCCAGACTCCTATGTGGTACCTTTGGTTACATTCATTTATTGACTGAACTCTTCCATACGTTTGATGTCATGATTTATGCGGTAGAAAGCGGTGCTTTGAAATTCACTTTTATCGTTTTATTACAGTTCTTGGTCTTCAGTGAGAGCATCTTGATTCTCTAGCTACTCACCAAAGGCACTGGTTTTCCAAACCCTCTTCCCTGTACCCATCCTCAAATGTTCAGCCTGCACCTCTGGTCCCCAGGGCGCAGCACTGCCTGGATGCATTAATAACTGCATCACAGTGTCAGAGTGAGGCAGGTGGCAAAAGAGCACTTTGATGCCTAGCTCGCTTTTCCTTCTGCCTCTCATTACTGAGAAAAACTAAGGCTAAAGGTTAGGGGATGCGGTTTATTAAATAATTCAAGTCATTAACCTGCAACCTGGAAGCTGATGGCAGCCTATTAAGTTTGCGCTGCCATGATTCATGTTTGGTGTTTACTAATGCTAACGCGGAATGCCTGTTTGCTTTACTTTTACGGTTATAGACTAATGCGGGGGGGGGGGGGAGGGAAGGTGACAGGACTGCACAAGGGGACAATAAGAGCGGCAGACTCACTTGCATAAAGAAGATTGAAGCCTTCCCTCCCTCCCTCCATCTCTTGGTATAGGCCCCAGTGCACATCTGCGTCACTTACTGGGGAGGAGGAGGCGGAGAGGCAGAGAGAAAATTGTACTGTGAGGACCTTGACAGCTTCACAGGCGGGCTTTTCCGTTAGCCTCTCTGTATTTTCTGGAATATCTATTTTTCTCTTTACAAACTGACTCTATCCAAACGCCTCTTGGTGCCTGTCAGGAGATATTTGACTTTTCCAGAAATTCCCTGCAAGCTAGAGGGGTACCATCGGAGAGGACAGGGAGCAGGGCGCAGGTGCACGGAGAAGGCGGAGGGGAGCGCTTCTCCAAGACTTGGGGCTCTTTCTAGCTCTCTCTGCGCTTTCCAGGCACGGAACTCTGGGCTGCGGTGACAGGAGCTTCAACACCTTTCCAGCTGAGGCTCTGTCAGGGTGCATCCCTGTAAGGTGTAGCCAGCTGCTGCGACCCCCCAGAGCTTCAGAGCGCGCAGACCTCCCTTCCTTGCGCATCCCAGACACCAGGGCATCCCTCCCTGTCGACACCACGGGGTCCCCACGAGGGGAAAGCGGATCATTAGCCCCCAGCGCTCTGCAGCTTCCTCAGCTCTGGGCCAGCTGGCTCCCCACGCCCGGGTCCCCAGGACCTCACCGAGGCTAAGGCACGCGCTGTGCAGTCCAGGCTCCTTGGTCGCCAGGCAGGGCGCGCAGCCTGCAGCCCTTGGCATCTGTCTCCTGGGGGGACTGACCTTCTTGCCTCCCCCTCTGTCCCAGGGTCGGTCTCCACGTCTGTGAGCTGCAGTCTCTTTGTCCTCTTTGCGTAAAGCATGTCAGGCTCTGGGCGAAAAGACTTCGATGTGAAACACATTCTGCGACTCCGCTGGAAACTCTTCAGCCATCCTTCTCCTTCCTCTAGTGGCCCGGCGGGAGGCAGTTGCCTGCAACAGGATGGCAGTGGCAGCTTTGAGCACTGGGGGCCCAGCCAGAGTCGCCTACTCAAGAACCAAGAAAGAGGGAGCATGAGCACTTTCTGGAAGAAGGCCTCTTCTTCCTCCTCCTCTTCTTCCTCCTCTTCCTTCAACCCTCTCAATGGCACCCTGTTGCCTGTAGCCACAAGGCTGCAGCCAGGGGCCCCTGGACAGGGCCCCCAGCAGCCTTCCCGGACACTCTACTATGTGGAGTCTCTAGAGGAGGAGGTGGTGTCAGACATGGACTTTCCTGGACAACAAGAAAAGGGGCTGGTCCTGCAGGAGCTCAAAGTGGAGCCAGCCCACTCGAGCCAGGCAACAGGTGAAGGATGTGGACACAGGTACACGTAAGTCCTCACGGGACATTCAAGCATCTTTCAATTTCATCCATTTCCCCACGTGCCCTTAGGATGTCTAAATTTGAAACTTTCAAGTTGTAATTTTTGGTTAGGTTATGCCACTCCACTTTTTATTACCCAAGTTGTAGTTTCATTAAAAGTTTGTGCATTAATTTATATTAGTTTGTGTGTTTTAACCTACTTTTTGTTTGGGGAGCAAATTTTCAGAGTTGTAACCACACATTGAATATACATGTGTTTTGGTAACTCACCAGATGATAAGGTTAATGTGGTTTTGAGAAGAAAATAATCTTCAGTCATCAAATTATGTGAGTCTAGTTACTGATGTGGTGAGAAACTTAAACATTGTCAAAATGCGTCTTCGATCCTTGCCTTGCAGTTGGCTTACCAAGTTATCTAAGATACCTTTGACTTGAATCTTAAAATTAATAAATGAGACAAAGGAGAACACTGGACAATATAATTCTCTCTTTCTCTCTCTAGATATCTGTATCTATCTCTCTTCCATGCAGTACAGTGGTGTTATTTTTAACCCAATTTTTTAGTTTTACTTTGTGTTCACTTTTGCTTGTTCTGAGTTGAGATAGAGGCTGTGATGGTATTGGGGGTTAGATATTAATAGTGAGAGGTCAACATTTTATTCTCAATACATTATCACTATTACATTTCTCTGCTTACAATTTTGCCATTTTCAAGACTTACGGAAAAACATTCACATAAGTAAATCTTCTGATTTTTATATTTTTAGAGAATCAACTCATTATTTTTATATATTTTAGAGAATCAATTCATAAAAGAGCAGAATATATTGTTGACAAAACAAAAGAATATGGTACTGAATATGTTAATAAATGCTGATGTCTCAATAATAATTGGCAAAAAGTAATGTTTAAAGTATTTGTTTGACTCAGCTTTTTATGAAATAAAGTAACAAAAACAAAATATATGACACAAAATAATATGTGTGTTGTTAATACATATATAGTTATTTATGTTGATAAATGCAAATGAAAATAGAGTCACAAGATAATTGTCCCTAAGAATTTCCAGCTTACTACAAGGGTTCATATGGAATCTTAAGTGCCTAGAAGAATCTTAAGTGCATAAAATTTTAAGGTATTTGATCAAATGTGAGAATCATTTTACTCAGAAGTTTAGTTCATAATTTTCAGATTCCTCCTACACATATCTAGAAGACAATATATATTAAACTTAAAAATTAATTTGGTAAGCTATTTTGGAAAATTATTATTTTGATCTCCAAAAAAGTTATTTGATTTGAGAATTTATTAATAACCTATTACTTTTTGCCTTATGTTTTTTTCTTACATGTACATTAAGCTTTTACTCCTTTTTAAAAGGAAATTTAAAATCTTACTAAAATTTGGAAAATCAATTCATAAATATTTAGGAGAAGACTTTATAAATGGAAAGAACACAAAGAAAGTTAAATGTGTGCCAGTACTATACTGCTAATTGCATTTTTGATGACTCAGACAACTCACAGATAATTGATAGGTGTGTGTTTGTTTTGTTTTTTAATTACAGTTTTCTAAAGCCTTCAAATCAGTTTGGAATATTTGATATGCTGGGACTATCAATATAAGTGGATGAGGTTCTTTTGTTCGTTTTTTTTTTAACTACTGTTTTCTTTGGCTTGAATAATTTCATGAGACTTTTAAGTAAATTAGGACATTTGAAAATACTGACTTAAGTTATAATGAAAGAATTTTAAACTGCCACTGATTAATTCCTCAGTTGAGAGGGAACAAGGCACATTCAGGTTAACCACTAAACCTGTTCTTTTTATATACTTCATTGTTTTAAATCACAAAGAATTGTAAGTGATAAGGGTTGTGAAAATAAGCAGCTACAAATACATCTTTGTTGTTGGAAAGTGGTCATTCTCTGAGATCTTGAATGTAGAAAATATGAAAATCAGATTCAATCTTCTTTAACTAGTCTTAATTATACTTAAATGTCGTAGAGCAATCTGAATTTCTCAATAGACAAGTCACTTCACACTATGGTCTTTGATGGATTATATGTGCTCTTCAACTTTCATAGAGCATTGAGTCTGTGCTCATGATTGATTGAAAACCACACTGGTAGACTCAATGATTAATCACTACCAATACATATTTCTTTATCTGTGGTAAAAACAGGGTTCATTGCTTGGAGGAAGGTATGGCATTAGCAGGGTAAAATAATGTAAACTTCATCACAAAACTTTAAAAACCCAATGAATAATATGAATTTCTCCCACTTATTGTTATTGCTCTCCTTTGTATATTGGAAAGCTGCATGATATTTACACTAATCAGATAATAAGTCTGTATGACACTTAATATCACATGTCATTAATGTATTACCAAACAATGATGTAATATTTATATTTATATTTTGTCTTATCAAGTCTTACTTCTATGCTATTTTTCCACACATAATGCACCATTTCATTCCTTTTCAGATATCCATCCCTATGTTTAATTATAATTTTGTCCATATTTGCCAACCATATTGATTTACAAAGTTTAAGTATGTCAACTATTTTAATATCTTAGAACAGCAACTGAAGGCCCCTCTTAGAGGAAAGACTCCTTAATCTGAGAACCCTAGAAGGTCATAAGCTGAAACAGAATTGTAGGAGGACAGTAGTAAATTAGTTTGCTGAACAAACCCAACTTTTATGTTATCCTACCATGTGAGTCCTGTACAAACAAGTCAAAATACTCAACTATAAGTTACAATTAAAACAGTGAAATTCTTAACTTTTACAAAATTAGGTTGTTGAGCTAAGCTATAAGACTTTTTTTTTCAACATTTTACATAAACTTAGTTTTTGGAAACAGTGTTGTTATCTATTCAGATTTTTGTTGTGGCTATTTCTCTTCAAAATTCTATATTGGAAAACTATTTTTTTTCATACAAAAGAAAAATATTTGCATTCTTGATGATTGTAGTGGTGTCAGTGGGAGAAGAGATGTGGAGGGTTTAGTTGTTTAAATCTTTACATGGTGTAGACATTGTACTGCAAGGCTTTAGTTATTCTCCATTGCTTGAATGGCCAATATCTGCATCTGTAAGCTCAGACTTTCCCCTGAACTCCTATCTGGCATATTCACTTCCCTACTGGTTATCTCTGATAAATATAATTAATAAGCAACTTAAATGTAACATAAGCAATGATAAACCAAAAATTGCTTCTCTAACCTTCAGTCTCATCTCTACTTGAGAGCACAGCTTTCTGTATGTTAGGTTATGTGAGCTAGCAATCTACAATAATATTTCCAACTTCATTTTAACCATAAAATGCCTCCTTGTGTTTGTTCCTCTTCCCTCCAATTCCATTGATTGCACCTGCTCAAAAGTTATGTCTTGTTTGAGTGAACTTTTGAAAATGCCACTTGTGTCATTACCCTCTTTCACACCATTTCTCCAATTCATACTATGTTTGCCAACCACAATCCATTCTCCACACTGAAGCCAATGCAAATTTTAAAATGATAAGTTATAGTGTTTAAAAAAAAAAATCTTTGTATGGCTCCCCAGAAGACTGCCACAAATCTCTGAAAGCAATATATAACATGGACCACTAGGTTCTGAATGATGTAATCTTTAATATGTTGGTCATTAATGTGCTGTCCATCTCTTCACCCTTTCTTTCCAAGTTTAAATTATATTTCTATTGTTACATCACAGACTCTGGGATTTAAAAATGCTTGCTTGATTTTCTTATACTCCCACCCTTCTTTTTGCCAAATTTATTCTTTTTCATCACTGAGAAGACTTGGGTACAAGTTCTGTAACTTTCTCACAGAAGCATTCTTTGGTCTCCTACACTACTTAAAATCTCCTTTTTTATTTTCTTATGGTAACTACTGGCTGCTTCTCCTTCAATTTCTTGTTGTAGATTGTTGTTGTGTACTGTCTACCCATAGCTGACCCTCGGGTGGGTTTTCAGAGGCAGGTAATTGCACAGGAAGAAATTTTCTATCTTTATGACACTAATTTCTTCTTTGTTTTTCCTGCCTGTAACTATAATTTGCAGCCCTGCAGTAGTGGATCAATTGTTTTTACTATTCTATCTCTCTTATAGAACATGTAGTGCATTTATACATATTATGGAATGAATAAATATTTGTGATAATTATAATGAGTGTTTGGTTAAGGAATTACTACTTGTGTAAGTTAGTATTCGCAATAACCTACTACAATTCATAAAAACCCAGTTGATTCTCATAACAGTCTTGTACAAATACTTATTTGATATGATGATTACATACAGAGGTCACTCATGGCTGCTGTGATGCTAACCACTGTTACACTGATGTGTCCAATGCGCTAATGGTTACCAATGGTGTTTGGTGGAGCTCCTCAATTAAAACAAACTTGGAAGTAGGGGTGGCATCCACTTCTATAAATAGCTTGCCTCTGGAAACTCTATGAACTTAGAGAAATGATGAAAGTTACGCAAGTGTTCAGGTCTCTTGTTAATAGGGTCGTGATGAGTCACCTATGACTCAGTAGCATTAACAACAATAACAACAACATGATGATTACATATATACAAAGCTAAGATTTTGAGAAAGAAGTATACTTGCTCTGAATGAAAGACTTTTTATTACTAGAGTTGATCTTTTAATCATTATCATCTTAATGTAGACACAATACTACAGGCCAATACTCAAACTTATATTCTGTTCACACAAACAGAACCAAAAATTATTCTTACCAGAGGTTGCAGATGCAGTTTTCTGGGTTTATTTTAATGTTTAAGAAATATTTAAATGCTAGTGCTGAAGAAAGAAGGTTCAATCAAAGAGGACATTTTAATCCAACTTAGCAAAGACACCATTATTTCCAGATATATGGTTGGTTTTACAGACAAAAGAACCCCCACAACAAAACAAAAACACAAAATACCCTAATTATGGACCTCAAAAAAGAGAACTTCAGAATACAAATTAATATATTTTTGA